AACTTTCTATTTTTTTCAGCTTTGCCCGGTCTTTTTTCGTAGCGACACACCTCAGCAAAATGGTGTATCTGAAAGAAAGAATCAAATTGTGATGGATATGGCGAAGTCTATTCTATTTTACAAAGGTTTTTCTAAAACCTTATGGCCCGAGGATGTTAATATTGTTGTGTATTTGCTAAATAGATGTCCAACAAAGGTTGTATGGAATAAGACTCCATTTGATGCTTGGAGTGGAAGAACACCTTATGTAAACCACCTTAAAGTTTTTTGGTGTGTTTGTTATGCTCAAATTCCTAAACAAAAGAGGACAAATTTAGAAGAAACAAGTCAAAAATGTGTCGTTATTGGCTATCGTTCCATGTCAAAGCGCTATACACTTTACAACTTGAAGACAAACAAGATGATCGTTAGCCGAGAAGTTGTATTTGATGAGAAGGCTTCTTGGAATTGGAAAGAATACAAAATGAAGAAGAAAATAGTCCCTGCAATTTTATTACAACAAAATTCAACAACTGAAAATGAGCAACCAACTCCATGTACACCAAGTTCTTCATCCTCTCCAAGTTCACCAATTTCAAGTTCATCATCTCCCAGCATAAATCCAATAAAATTGAAGGACTTGAGTGATATTTATGCAAGGTGCGACTATTTTGTTATGCAACAACAAAATTTTGAGGAAGCAATCAAAGAAGATGTTTAGAGGAATGTGATGCAAGAAGAAATAAATGCAATTGAGAAGAACAAAACATGACAGTTAGTTGAAAAACTAAATGGCAAAGAAGCTATTGGAGTAAAGTGGGTGTACAAATTGAAACATAATCCAGATGGTTCAATCCAAAGAGCCAATGTTAGATTAGTAGTCAAAGGCTATGCACAATAGCCTGGAATTGACTATAGTGGGACTTTTTCTTCGGTTGCACGTTTGGACACCGTGAGAACAATCATAGCAGCTTAAAAAGGTTGGAATTTGTACCAACTTGATATGAAGTCACATTTCTTGAATGAGGAATTAAAAGAAGAGTTGTATGTGCAGTAACCTCAAGGCTTTGTGACTAAAGACCTAGAGGAAAAAGTTAAGAAAGCTATTTATGGGTTGAAATAAGCCCCTAGAGCATGGTATAGTGAAATTGATATCTACTTCATTCAGCAAGGATTTCAAAGAAGTCAAAGTCAGCCTACCTTGTTGCCCTTTATGTTGATGATTTTGTGTATACGGGTAACAACAAGAAAATGATTGAAAATTTTAAAATAGAAATGATGGAAAAATATGAGATGAGTGATCTTGGCTTGCTGCATCATTTTCTTGGTATTGAGGCTTACCAAGATGAATATGGAGTTTTTATTTGTCAAAAGAGATATGTTGAAAATATTTTGAAAAAGTTTGGCATGCATGGTTGCAAACCTGTTGATATTCCTTTAGTGGTGAATAAAAAATTAAAGATGCAAGATGGTGGAAGATTAGTAGATGCAAGCATGTATAGAAGTTTGGTTGAAAGTTTGTTTTATCTTACAGCTTCAAGGCCTGATTTAATGTTTGCTGCTAGTTTACTCTCAAGCTTCATGAGTAAACCAAGTAATTTACATCTTGGGGCAGCAAAAAGAGTTCTAAGAAAGTTGCATGTGTTAATCATAGTGAGTTTGTAAAAAAAAAAAAAATTAATTATGTTGCATGGCTAGAAGAATGAAGAAAAAATTGATAAATATTTGAACTCTTATAGTGTTGCTTTATTATTTGTTGTCGTCTTAGATCCTAGATATAATTTGCATTTTGTTGAGTGGTATTTTGTGAAGTTGTTAGATAGTGAGGGACTACAAGTTGCAACGATGATCTTTAATAAGTTGAAAGTTTTTTTTCAAGAATATTTCAAATTCTCAACTAAGACAATCACTTCATCTTCACATAGACCAATTAGAGGTAGTCTAAACATTCCCTCAAATAACTTGTAGGATTTTGAGACTTAAGAAAGTAAATTGTGTGAACCATCAAAAAATGAGTCTAATTTAAAAACTTATTTGATTGAAAAAAATTACAATAAAATACAATCATTTACAGTTTGATATGATCTAAGTATCAAGGAATCATGTCTAACTAACTATTGTCATTAACCGTCATTTAATATTCATCAACATAACCTTTTAAAAAATGAGGTGCAAATTTTTTTATAGTTTTGTTTGAATTTATTAACAACATGTATGTTGTGTATTGAGAGATAAGCTTGATGACTTTCTTGCTAATCAATGGCTACATGAATGCCATGGAAACTCTAGCATACACTTCCACTGAATCAGGAATTGTTTATGTGTGGACACCCTTCTTAAGCATATTTAGTTCTGTTACATAGTGTAAGTGGATTTGTTACGAGTAATTCTGGTTTTAGTGTTTAGTGTCTTGTTTGTAATTTGTAGGTTTCATATAATTTACCTGTCTATTGCACATAATTTTACCACCTGTTAATGATTTGCTTCTCATTTTCAATAAAACCCTGAATAAACTCACACTTGAGAAAGAGTACTCTTGAGATAAATAAATGTGAGTAGTGTAGAAAAGAAGAAGAGATTTAAAGCATTTGTATTGCACTTCCCGCATTGATTTAGTTGTAATTATTTTTAGTATTTATATAAGTTAATCTAACATTCTTTTGGCAATGAATATTAGGTTATTAGTCCAATAAAATGGGCTTAAGTTCAGAATTTTATTTTCACAATTTTAATTATTTAATATTTAAAAAAGAATTAATAAATATTAACTAATAACTTAAACAAAATAATTAAAATAAAAATAATTAAAATAAAAATAATTAAATATTAATCAATTTTAAAAAATTAATAAATTATACTATTCATGAATGACACATTATTAAAAATATATTTTTTATCTTAATCGTCCGTGTCTGCAAAATTAGAGGAGGACTAATACAATTTCAAAAGATGTAAAATTGAAGGATTAAAAAACTTGTTTTTAAAATGATAATAGTGACTAAAAATTATAAAAAAATATTAAATTAGACCGATCAAAAATGCATTTAAATTTAATAAATAATATAATATTCACATTATTTAATAATGAACGAACAATTTTAAATTCTTAACTTTTGAAATTATTTGAAATTTTTTAAATTTAACCTGAGTAAAATATTTCATAAATTTATATCATTTTAAATTTTTTTTCATATTTTTATCCAAACAACATATTTTGGTCAAACATTTTAAATTTTTTCAAAAAATTATTTTTCCTAATTAAAATACTTCACACAAATACACTTTAATATTTTAATTAGGAGTTTGGAAGGGAGGAGAAGGAACTGACTTCAAAAAATTATTTTTCTATATATTTTAAAAATAAATATTATTTTTTGAAACCATTCATTTTCCCCTTTCAAATTTTATATTGAGAAAAACAAATGTAAGGTAATAAATATGCGGTGTGTTTCTCACAAGTAATGTTACTCATAAAGAAAAAATCTCAATGTAAAAAATACTCCCTCGTGTTGATTTTTGGATAGTCCCAACATTGGTATTAGAGTTTTGTCAGTGAAATGATCGGTTCACTTGGATCAAAATTTTCTATTAAATAAGAGATGGCCCGTTGAAAAATGTCAACAATGATACAAGTGTGAAAAGAATTTATATTTGAGAGAGCCTATTGTGAATAAACTCACACTTGAGAAAGAGTATTGTTGAGATAAACAAATGTGAGTAGTGTAAAAAAAATTTATATTGATTAAAAATAAAGACTTAAACATTTATAAGTGAAAAAACTCGTACATCTATCACATTAAAAATTTGAATGAATACATGATATCTATTTCACAAAATGTGTTGCTTATAAAAAAAAATGTTTGGATATAAAAAGAAAACGATCTTTCATATCCCCGAATAACCCCATACACCCAAACAAAACCTAAGTATTTGTCGAGTTGTTTTGGCCAGTGAATTTAATAGAAGAACTCAACAATGAAAATTGTCATACTCTAATAATAAGAATTGAGTCTCTTCTACGGTTGTAAAATCTAGTTTATCAATCATTAATTTACAAAATAAACATGTTAAAATTAGATTGATGAAATAATTAAGCTTAGGGGCTAAGGCTCTTTATGAACCTCGTCCTCATACTCCATTGCTCGATTGGCAAAAGATTAAATTTAGTTAACCATATTTTATTCAAGTCACTTTTTAATTAATTTTATATAAAGAAAATTGCAAGACTCGATTACTTTTTTTTAACTGTACTAACAGTATATATAATTGCCTAAATTGAGAGTCCTGAAGCTATGTAACAAAAGTACTTGGAATAAACATAAATCAATTAAAAATAGGGGGGATTTTATTCTGTCATCAAGCATGAACTTTATATAATTAATATTAGTAAGAAGATAAGTCCTACTTTAATTTTGTTTAGTAAATTAACAAAGTGTCATTTTCAACTTTTTTTCAACTAGACTTGGTTCAGTTATCTCTCACCTAATTTCGTGGTGGAATTCACTTTGCTTTAGAAGCAAACAAAACTCTACTAGTGAAGAATTATTTAAAATCATATTTAGCTTTTTCCAATAATCAGATGCTTCCAAACACCTTTTCTATGTAAACAACAATATTTAAATTCAACTTGCATTAAAATTTCTCCAAATACATGATACATTACAAACCTATATATCCCTTACTTTTAAATGGTCCCACTTTCCACTTACTCAAAAAAATAAAAATTACTAAGAAAAAGAAGCCTCCACTACAGATATATAATATTTTGATTATACTTCACCAACCCCACCATAGAAAAAATATCAATAGTCTTTGAAAATATTTGATTTTTCACCATGATAATGACATGACATGTTAGGCTCCTCCAATTTTACATTTTATTGGCAATGACAATTACTTCTATAGTTTGACAAAACTTGAAGAAATAAAATAAAAAGTTGAATGATTAACCTTAGGAAAATGGAGGAAGAAATTTATGTCAAGATTGTGGTGAGATTTTTCTGTTAGCTAAGGCTAATGGTCTATGTGTGGTTGTTTGATTCAGGCTTGATGATTGATGACGAGTCTGATTGAGGCATACGAAAAATTGCTGAGGCTAGAGATATTGGCATGATACAAAGTGCTTTTGATTGAAGAAGTTGCATGGCTGCACCAACATCTTCTTCCATGAGTTTAGCAACTTGTTGTTCTGTTCCATCATTCGACCACTTCGCCCAGGCTTGCTGGTTGGTTCCGCCTTCTATGTCCTCCCCCTGCGGATAATAAAGTTGTGTTAAAACTTATGAAACATTGACATAAACACTAGACCATACAGGACACTACATTGACACTACATTGACACTGACACGTAAAAGTCAATAATAATAATAATAATAATAATAATAATAATAATAATAAGTGATTCTGTGTAACTATAATGTCACTGTTGTATAGAGTGTTTGACATAATGTGACAAACAGCCAACACATTTTGAAAAAGTTATTTTAAAATGGTTAAAAGAATATGAAATAACAATGTAAATGTCATTTTTTTTAATACTTTATTTAAGAATCAAAATAATAAAGATTAAATCTCAGTAGATCTTGCTAGCAAATGTCATTTTAAAATTTCATGGTTGAGGCATTTATATCAGTTATCACCTCAACTGCAGAAACAGGAACATCAGCTACAAGTTGAGCAACTGCACCAGCTCCACCAAGTCTACTCATGCTCAACACCTGTATGAACATACATCATATAAGTTAAATGAAATGTAAAAACAGATAGTTTCATTTATTTACTTAAGAATTAGTTACTACAAAGAAAATCAAACAAAAAGTATCATTACACATACCTTAACTTGGAGCCTAAGGAACTTCACATAATCAACGATTTCATCAAGCATAGCTGCTTTGTCTGTCTATAAACCACATTTTCATAATATTAAACACTAATGCAAATTGTGTTGATAAAAAAATTGTGATTGCATTGGAAAATCACCAAACCTTGTTGATGCTGGGGACTAATTCCTGTAACGCCTTCATTCTTTCCGCAATTCTTTCACGACGCAGCTACATTCATTCAAAATTTTATGTGAAATATACATACATTGCATTAATAGGCTTTACAACGGTTAAAAATAACATGGTTTACCCGCTCAGCAATGCTGTGGGGGTCCGTAGCTTGGCCTCTTCTTGCTCGAACTCGAGGGCGGATGCCAGGCGGTTGCTGTGGCATGGCAGTAACAGATGCTGGATTTGGTTGCTGGCTCTGAAAATGCTGCAATGTAATGTAATTGTATTATTAAGTAAGAAGTATCTTAACAATTCATAGATAATCAAATTATGTAAAGTTACGATTACAATTATCAATAGAGTTTAGATTTTTTACTTAATCACTATAATGTTTTTTAAATTATTTCTAACAGCATACAAGTATTGAATTGGTAAAAAATCTTGAACAATATTTGTGTTTTTCCATGAAAGGAACTTTAAACGGAAGAATCATCACCGACAATTATGATTAAGATTTCAAGAAAAAGTAAAAATGTTGCACGCTTGCAAAATGTTCAGCCCTTACAAAAATAGACCCTGACATATAAAGTTAGGGTCCCAATGCCTACTGGCTCTAGCCAATATTACTTTTTGCTTTTTGTAATTTTTTAATGCATATTACCACAATCAATTAAAGTAATTTTCTGGAATACTAGTATTAATTTTTTAAAATCATTTACTTTATTTTTTAAATATTTTTAATATGTTTTGTTTTCATTTTTTTATGCAGTAAATAATTAAATATTTTACATTAAACTAAGTAAAAAAAACTTATTACAAATACAATAATTTTAAAAAATTGATGGAGTAATAATGTTAGAATAAAACTAAAGAAAAGGCTTTAGCGTAAAGAAAAGTTCACTCTACTATCATTAATGATACACTAAAGTGGTAGTGCTGGGAATGAGTTAGTACTCATTAACCCGTGATTGCAAATCTTCATAATTATTTTGTGTACTTAAAATATATTAAGTATTTTACAAATACTATTATAATTAAAAAAACAGTTTTTAAATTTAAAAATATACAATGTACAATTTTTAATATTAATTTTTTATTTTTAAACCATGTTTATTTTATAATTTTGATTTGACACACTAATTCATTACTTTTGTGTGTATATATATATATATATATATATATATATATATATATATATATATATATATATATATATATTTTTTTTAAATTATAGTAAACTATAAAAGAAAAAAGTTAAATTTTAAAAGTTAACATATAATATTTTTGTCTGTACTTTAATGTTCACATAACACAATTTAAATATATTTTTTAATTAAATTACATGAAAAACTAAGTATAAAGCGAAATCTAAATTTTTTTCAACATGAATCAAGAAAAGAGAGGGTTGTTTCTGCGAATGCGAATATTACCCATGAAAAAGAATTGAAATGAACACAATGAACGCAACCCATCCACAAGAACAAAGGCCAAATTGTAAAGAAAGAAAAAGAAAAAAGGCATTGTATTATATGTACATACATGCTTTCATAAAACATTAGGATCTGTAGCTTTATGTATATTTCATTATTTAAAAAAAGAGTGAATAAATGAACGGCCATGGATGAAGATTTAAGCACTTAAAATATTAAACATCAAGAGGCATCTTCTCTTTTTGCTTTGTAAAGTAGCTCAACTTTAGGGTAAAATATATATGATAATATCTTGTCTTTATATAGGTTTTAGGTTTGAGTGGGTTACTGATGGATTAATTATTATCAAGATATCTCTTTATAATATTAGATATTAGATATATAGTAGATGAATGATTGAAAAGGGAGGGACAAAATGGTCATTAAAAATATATATACACCTGTTGTTGGTGTTGATGGTGAAGATGGATCTGTGGTTGAGGAGTTGGAGATGGGAGCATGGGACGTACAGGCTGAGCATGAGTGGGAGTATGCATTTGTCCAAACGTTGAAAACAAACCCCTCATGTGCTGCATCGAATCCCTATCCTGTACCATCAAACACAATATCAAAAAAAACATAAATCACTCATAATAGTATTAGGGTTTTATGAAATATTAAGTGATACATACAGTGATTCCGGGAGTAGAAGAGGGTGAGGAAGAAGTATTATTATTGTTATTGATATCATGAAGACGAAGATGATGATGGTTGTTGTTGTTGTTACCGTTGGTAATACTGGTTTCAACATCAACAATGTTGTCAACAAACCTTGTTGCAGCATCTTGGTGTCTGAGAAACCCATGATGAGTTTGCTCCAAATTCAACCCCAACGGCATTATTCCAGGTGTGGACCCGAGTTGCAACACACCTCCAACATGATCCATGCCTGTAGTATTCCTCCCATAACCAACTCCACTTTCAGGCACTGCTAAGATCTGTTCGAAAAAATCATCCCCCAATCCCTCCGAACAATTACCGGCCATGTGGAAGATTCTCGTTCACAGAGTCAGTTGTCGGAGTATAACAGTTTTGACTAGTATTGCCGCATTTGAGGGTTCCGTTTTCCGATAATGTTTTGTGTAGAGATAAAGAGATAGTGGTTTTATAAGTACTAGTTTGGCAGTGGTTGAAGCTTTTTCAGGGTTTGGTTTTGCTTTTGAGAGAGAATGGTGAGTGAGTGCGCTACGGTTTTAAAAAGAGTAAAAATGACGTGAGAGAGACGAGACGACCCGGAAAACTAAATAAATATACCAAGCAGGATAGTGTAGAGAAGAACAGACAAAACGGCAAAAGTATGTTGGGGAAACGTTTCGGTTTTTCTTACGTGCACGCACGCGCTACTTTTTCTTTTCTTTTCCAAAATCAGTAGTAGTACCAATTTTGTGATAGCTTGGAAAATTACAAATTTTAAGATAACATTTTTTTTAAATGTGAGATATTGCTTGTCAAATGAAAATTGTTGTAATTATCTCTGAGAATTATTTTTATAATATACTCTCTAATATGTTTTTATTGGTTAAAAATCAAGTCTGTAATGTTTTTAGTTAAAAATCAAATTATATATCTGATTAGTTCATTTAATTAATTTAGTTTAATTAACTTAGTTGAGTATTGTACAGATATTAAATTGCGGGATATTATATTGTATGTATGAGAGTTCGAGTTTTGATATTTTACTTATTCACTCTTAAATGCTGAAATTATGATCTTTAAACTAATGTACAATTTTTTTTAACTAAATTTATCTCAAGCCTACTTGATTTCGTATGTGTTAAAACAAGATTTGTTAATTCCCTTAAAAGATTTAGAAGATAATAAAGTATTGAAAAAACAATAGTATTTACTAATGGTTATTCGAGTGTGCAGAATCAAAAGACAATCATCTTGATATGAATCAAGTTAATCATTAAGAAGAACCATTAAAGAGAACAGAGTTGTTATGAATATGAAGTATCATAACCAAGTTTTCAGATTCTGGAGAGTCAACTCAAATCTTTCAGATGCTAATCTTAAGCTTACTTGGAATATAAAGGTCAGCTCAACTGTGAAGAGTAGAACCATTTGAAGCAAGCAGATTTTGTTATAAGGAACGACTATGCATCTTTTGAACAAGTTGTATCAACAATTCTGAAGACACTGCTTCAAAAGAATTTGTCTACATCAAGTCATCAACTCTTCGAGTGATTATCCAGACTAGTTTTAATCAAGACTCTAATGAATGCAAGACTCGGAACCTATGAACTCATGAATCTGAAGTCTCATTCCAACCAAGTTTTGAAGACATACTTTAGTTTATGATCATGCTTTAACTAATTCTATAAAATGCCTCTAATTAGAAAGAAAAGTATAAGGACAACAACGACTCTAAGCAAGCTTCAACAAACGTCTACAAGAAGACTAGTAAGAAAGTTATCCAATAAAGATCATGTGACAACAGTACACTACTTTAAGTCAAATCTAGTGATAGTGACGTTGTCAGGATATTCTCTCTCCAACTATTCAGAACTCTGCTCTGCTACTCTCAATGTCTTTATGCTAGCTGAGTTTTTAGCTTACTATATTGTCCATAAGCTAAAGACCTTTAATGGCTACTTATACCAAGGTAGCTTCAACGACTATCGATACCATGGTAGTTTTAATTTTCAACGGATTTATTCTTAGTATCTATTTAAGGATGAAGATTGAAAATACTTAGTGTAGTTTAAAGAAGAAAGTTCTTGGAACATCTCTCTGAGTTGAACCTCTACCTCTCAAGAGTATAAACCTTTGTGTATCTACTTATCCAAAAAGCATATATATGAACACAAGGTTGATACCAGATTCTACTGTCAAGAGAATTTGAAGACTCTAGCATCTCTGCTCAGAGTAAATTCTCTTTCTGATGATTGAGCAAAAAGTCTTAAACTGAATGTTTAGGTATTGAAGTCTCATGCTTGTGGGTAGAGCAAGGAAGTTTGGATTAGTGTGATTGAGCATAAAGTCTCATGCTTGAGGGCTTGAGCAGGAAATCCTGAATGGGTAGTTCAGGCAAGGAAGTCTCGAATGGGGTGATTGAGCACCTAAAAGGGGAGTTTATGCAAGGAAGTATCATGCTTGCAGGCTTGAGCAAGAGTCTCTTTCCATTAGATTGTGCAGGAGTTCATGAGATGTTGACTTAAGCAATTGTAATAAGTCTGATTATAGTTAAAATATCTTGCTCTGCAAGTATGACAAAATGGGAGAAAATGTATAAAGTGTTTAAGAAGAGAAAAACATCTAAACAAAGTAATGTCTGCCAAAAAAGCTTATGAGTTATAAACTTTAAGTTAATTATTTATGTTATTTATGTTTTGTGTAATTTATTTTACTAGGCTTAAATGATAAACTTAATTAACAAAGACATGAAATTAGGGAAAGCTTATAAACCTTACCTTAATGAAATGTCAGACTAAAGGAAAAACTTGTAAACATCGACTTAAGGTCTATCAAATTCAAGGGGAACTTACAAACCTCAACCTGATGTTAGCATTTGTTAATTAAAGTTATAAAATTAAATTAACATATATAAGGAGTTAGGAAGAGCTTACAGACCTCATCTTAATGGACTATTAGACTTAAGGGGAGCTTACAAACCTCACCTTAAAAAACAGTATAACTTAAGGGGAGCTTACAAAACTCAGACTCTAATGTTAAACTGTGTCAGTTAAATCACCAACCATTGTTCTTAAATATATTTGTTTGTCATCATTAAAAAGGGGGAAATTGTTAGTACAAGATTTGTTCATTCCCTTAAAAGGTTTTATTTAAAGAACAATATGGTTTACTAATGGTTATTCGAGTGTGCAGGATCAAAAGACATTAACATAAATATGAATCAAGTTAATCACTCAGAAGAACCATTAAAGAAAACGAAGTTGTTGTAAACCTAAAGGATCAAAACCAAGCTTTCAGAATCTGGATAGTCAACTCAAGTCCTTCGGATGCTGAACTTAAGCTTACTTGGAATATAAATAGCAGCTCAACTCTGAAGACTGGAACTATTTGAAGCAAGCAGACTCTTTACCAGGAATGACTATGCATCTTCTGAATAAGTTGCATCATCAATTCCGAAGACACTGTTTTAAAGGAATTTGTCTATATCAAGTCATCAACTCTTCAAGTGATTATCAAAACTAGTTCTGATCAAGACTCACGGTAGCTTCAACGATTTTCTGTACCATAGTAGTGAAGGTGAGAAAATACTTAGAAGGGGGGGGGGGGGGTTGAATAAGTTTATAGAAATTATTATGGCAATAAAAACACAAAGATTTGTATCCTGGTTCTTTGAACTTAACTACTCCAGTCCACCCTATCAAGAGTGATTTTCCTTTCTCTACAAGGACTTAATCCACTATTAATCAAACTGATTACAATAGCAAATACTAAGAGCAACTGTTCTTAGTCTTCTCAAGAACTACTGACGACAATTGGGTCTTTTCAAGGAACTTTTACAATCAAATGTAAAACTAAACAAGTGTTAGAATGCTTCTAAGAAAGCTATATCACAATTGTGATTTACACTTAAGTTTAAGAACGTATGAAATAAATTCAGCAAAGAGAATAATTTGTATGAGAGCTTTTCAATGAATTTCTTTCAATAATCGTCAACTTGAGAAAGATGTTGAAGTCTTGCTTTTATAGGCACAGAAGTCCAAGACGTTTGCAAGCTTTGAAGACCGTGTTTGCAAAATAGCTGTAACCTTTTTGTTTTCACATCACTTGACCTTTCCTAGAAGTAGAACATTCAGAAAAATCCTTTTTGCCTGTGTTCTTGTGTCTAGCATAGAAGAGGAAAGAGTTGTTTGGCATAACCAACGGGTATATCTTCAAATAATCTTCTTCAACAAGTTTCTAATTCACAGCAATTAACATCAGAGCCTTGATTGATCAGAGTCTTGATGTCTTCAAAGTTTGTTGTATCAGAGTGTTGCAACAAGTGTGCTTTAGCGTGAGATTTCATTAGAGCAGAGTTTAGGAATCAGATCCTCAGTACTTGCAGCCTACAGTACTATCAGAGTCTTCTGAAAAACTGTGCTTGAAACTCTTCATACAAAGTCTTCAGTCTATGCTCCAGATGCTTTTGTAGCTTCTGCTTCAGATCCTTCTGTAGGCAGCGCTCAGAGTCTTCTGTAGGCAGCGCTCAGAGTCTTCTAAGAGATGCTTCTGACGCTTCAGAGCCTTACATAGTTCAACGTTTAGATCCATTTTTGCTTTCAGAAGAATATTAAATTTAATATCTGCAACAAAAATACTTGAACAAATTTAGAGTATATAATTTCTTAATACAAAATTTCGTAAGTGTTATCATCAAAACATAGAGATATAACTAAGAACCAATCTGTGTTCTAACAATCTCCCCCTTTTTGATGATGACAAAAACATAAGAAATTTTGTTCAATAAAGATATAATTATAACTCCCTCTGAGATAATGAATCTCCCCCTGAATTGAATTCTTAGAAAGAATAGAAACTTCCCTTTTTGCATGAGTATTCTTTTCAGAATCAGAGCCTGATTGTTCCAAAAAATAGAGCTTGACTTGGATGAATGTTTCAGAATCAGAGCCTGATTGGTTAAAACTTGATATGGGGATCTCAGAGTTACTTTAAAGAATTTTGTCAGATTTATCATAAGTTCTGAAATACTAAAAGTTCACGTTAGTTATAATTTGATATGTCTGAATTCCACTCAGGTAAAGTTTATTTGAACAGTTAGAATTTCATTTTCTCCCCCTTTTTGTCATAGTCAAAAAGAAAAACGTTTAAAGACAAATAAAAGGAAACAGAGAGAAAAGATACATTCATGTAGAGAAAACATCAGATTCATTCATCCATTCAAAAAAATACGTAGACAGAGCAGACAAAAACAACAGATAAGAAATTCAAGTACAAGTGCACAAACACCAGATAAACATAAATCTAGGTTTGTTTGGAAAGAATCATCTTCAGAAGATGGGTGATCTCAGAT